TTTATTTACTATTGTTCATTGCTCTTCCAAACTTTTCCATTTATGATATTTTCATCATATTTCCTCCTCCATGAAGAAAGAATTGCTTGAAACATCTCGTTTTTCTACATAAATATGTCCCTTTTAAAATCTAATTTCAATCATTTATCAATTATAATCTGCCTTGCTCTATGTTGAATCTGAGGAGAAGCTTGCCTAAAATGCACAAGGTTCTGGTTTTGATCCCCAGCACCAAAAAATAAAGTGAATTTTTAAAAAGAAAGAAAGAAAAAAAAGGAAAAGGAAAAGGAAAAAAAAAAGTGGCAGGGGTTGGGGGGGTGGACAGAATTGGAGGTAAATATCTCAGTATTTCCACTAAGATGAGTCCTGTGTATTGATACCATGAATCTATCTATTCATAGTAGATTTTATTTTTCCCCCCCGAAAGTTTCTCTTTTCAGTTTTCCATGAATTTGTTAACGTACCCTCTCATGGAAATCATCCTTGAGGAAAAAAAGAATCATGGCCTAAGACAAATGAATCTTTTCCTTTCTTAAGGAAGTGACCATAGGAGACCTTCTTCCCTGGGGTCTCACCTGTAGAAGGGCTATCACAAGCCCCTGTCCTGAAGGGATCATGGTGTTAGGAAATTATGTGGAAAAGCACTGGAGAAACCCACCCACTCATTTTTACACATATATAAACTGAGAATAAGGGACTTAGAAATTTATCCGCCACCTCTGGAATACTTAGAGACACATTTAGAATTTCATTTAGAAAACCAGTCACCTAGAAATTTTTTTAAAAATCATTATAGAAGGTGGTTTGGCTGTTCTGGGCAGTGGCAAGCTGATAAAAGCTTAACAACTGGGAGTGAATTGGACAGAGGAAGCCCTGATGGACCTCTATTGTTTGCCAATTTTAAGGTGCTGAGCACTTCCAAGCTACCAACCCAACACCATTGAACAAGGACTTGGGGAGGGTTGAGCACAATCCAGTTGGCTGCCAAGACTGTTAAAGATTATCTGACTTGAGTGAGCAGTCTTTAAGGAGAAGGAGAACCAAGCTAATGCAGTGGATAAAGAACTTCCCCTAAGGAGTTACCACTGAAATTTCAAGGCCCAGCCCAAATATAAGGGTCTCTGTGAGGCTTTCCCCTCATCTTTTCAGTAATGATGACTTCTAATTTGAATGCCAAAGTCCTGGTCTATTCCTTATATGAGGGTGATTACCTTAAGCCTAACTTGATATTATTGTCAATAGACAGTGTCTTTCCCATCTAGTCTGTGCTGGAAGGATGTGGCCACATCCTCCTCCTTCATTGTCAGAGAAGCAGGGCAGCAAAGTAGGTGTTGCCCAAGCTCTGGAGTCAGGCTCTCAGTTTCAAATTCTGACATTGTTGTGCTCAGTACCCACTTATCTTGAGATCTCGAGAAAGCTGACAAAACCCTCTGTAGAAATGAGACATTAATTGGGATTCTGTCTCAGAGGTATGGTGATTAATGAGATCACTGGACAAGTTCAGTGCCTAGCACATCTAAGTGCTCACTAAATGTTACCTGGTGTTGTTATCTCTAGCACTCAGCCCAGTGCCCAGCACAGTGTTGGTGTGTAATCATTGCTGATTGGGCTGAATGGATATGAGGCAAAGATATGATCCAGCTAACTTGGTAGTAAGTTGGGAAAGAATGCACTAGAAGAGAACTGTGTGAACAGTTATTGTTGAGGAAATGAGAATGGTGTATCTAATAAGCATCTGTAGATCACAGAATTATGGGATGAGAACCTAGTTTTCCTGCTGTGATATGATGAAAACAGAGTAGGGTAGAATCACCTGTGCCCTCCCTTCACCCCATGCACTAAACTCTGTCTATAAATACACCATTTGGTTATTGTACTAGCTTTTATAGGCTGTTGTTGATTGAAATATCTCGTTGTCAGGACTGTGCAATTGGGTTTTTAAAAATCTAAATGCTATTCTTTAAGCACAAATACTGATAAATTTTATTCCATTTGGTTCAGTCCATTATTCCAGTTAATAAGTATCTCTCCCAAACTTGCTTCAGCAATGCATTATATTTTATATCCCCTCTAACTTTGTGTTGTCTGCAATTTTGTGAGCATGACTTCTATTTTGTCTTACAAAACACTAACAGGCCACTTCTAAGAATGGTATCTCCTTACGTTGTCACTAAAGACCTCTTTTCATGTTGGCCTTGGTTCATTAAACAATCTTTTTTTTTCTTTTTGGATGTAGATTTTGAAACTCTTTTCCAACCTATGAAAGTATTCAATAGTCCATGTTGTAGTTCATCTTGTTCACAAGAATGACAGGAGAAACTTTCCCAAAATGCTGTTTGCAAAATCTTTTCTCTGTAGATAGTCTATTAGAAAATAAACGGCAGCTAGAATGTTGCAGTGTGTTCTTGACTAACCCGTGTTAGTTTGTAATACCAACAACATCTGAGTTGAACAAAAGATTCATGAATTAAAATAGTGATATCAAGGTAGATAAGGCCCAATGCACAGACCTGGATCATCCAGGTGAAATGGCTGCACAGCTGAGAGCAGTGAGAGATCATTGAAAAGTGTGAATATAAACTGTACAATGACAAAGTTGTGTTTTCAGAAAGTCATCTGGCAGCAAATCACGATGGACTCTGGGGGAACCTTGTGTAATTTGGCATCTTTCTCAGATAATTCCAGAATGGGATGCTAGACCACTTACTCTGGGCTAGGCTGGTAACAATGAAGGCAGAAAAATAAATTTGGATTTAAAAGGGGAAAAAAGTATCAAAAGTTACTGGTAAGCCAATGTGAGGAGAATTAAAAATAAAATAAAATACTAGTTTAGGGCTTGCCAAGGTTTTTTTTACATTGTTGAACACGCAGAATATATTACTGGTTTGGCCACAGGGGCAGATATGGTTCCTTGGGAATGGAGGTGAACCAACATCATGGATCCCAGGGTGGGTCTCCTCTCTGCCGAGCTCCACTGGAAGAGGGCATTAATATCTGCATGTGTCTCAGAAGCCATTTGGAAATTTCTTCTTTAGAAATAAGTAGTCTTAGCAATAGAAGGAAAAACAGGGAACAAAGCAAGATCAACAGTACAAAGAAGACTACACGGGGAATCCCTACCTTACCATTTCTGTTGGCTTGACTTATGGATTTTCGACTTTATGATGGTACAAAAGCAGAATACATTCAATGGAAACCATTTAGGATCTCTTTCAGGGCTAGCAATATGTGTACAATATTTTCATTCAACTGGGTAGTGGCAGGGACCTGCAACTCCCAGGCAGCCACAAGAATCACAAGGAGAACTGACCCTGCAGCCTGCTGTACTGCTAAACTCTGATAATCTGTAGGTTAGGGGTATTAAATGCATTCTCAACTTATGATATTTTCAATTTAATGATGAGCTTAATGAAACATAACCCCATTGTAGGGTAAGTTGCAGCTGTATATATAAAGAAAAGCCAAACATTTGGTTCAGTGCATAATTCTGAACAAAGAAGCAAAATTTCATTTACACAGTTGGATGAAAACCAATCCATACCAGGGTTAATGCCAGAGAAAAACTATGCAGGTGCCAAACAGGGCAACCCAGGACACTCAATCACTGTCCATGTTGTAACAATGCAATAAAACAAGGTAGTGGCTACTCAGGCCTAATTTGAATATGGAAATCATCATGTCATGGGACAAACTGGAGAGAGGAGCTAACCACACCTGAGAAGGTGTCAGGTAGAAACCTAAGTGCAGACAAAAGCAGAAACAAAAGAAGGAGTTGGAGTTTTGCATTTATAGAGAAATCCATGCCTATTCACTTGAAAATTTAAGAAGTGCTGTCAATTCGTTGCTTCTTATTGATTTCTGTAGTTAAATAAACTAAGTAGTTTGTAATTCTGGTACCTCACCTTTTTTTTTTTTTTTTTTTTTGCATTCTGCACAGAGGAAAACATAGGTTGGAAAAATGAAGGGACTTGTGATTCCTAATTCTGGTGATAATTGAAGATGCTAGTTATAGAAAAAATTTAAAAGTGTTCCCTCGTTCTCCATTAAACTCAATGGTACAGCGAGAACAAGAACGTACAACAAAGTCATGTGGATTCTATTGTACAATAGGAATGAATGGCTCTCAAAACTGAACCATTCATTTAATTATGACTAGCAGCAGGATCACCATGTGCATGATTTGGGGGACATCCACCCTTCACTTTAGAGTCACAAGAATGGTACTCCTGGTTATACAGCATACAGCCTGTGTGGCCATATGTGGCAGCTCACAGAGAGACCCATGTGATTCATACCAATGCATTTCTGCATTGACCCATGAGATTATCACCAGCCCAACCATATTCCCTTCTTCAAGTGAGCTGTGTCTATATTCTTTCATCCCAACTTATCATTTTATTCCAGTTCAGATTTATCTAGTTTTCTGCACAGTTCGTCACTGGACCTCCATTACAAACCAAAACACATTCTGCCAGCTCATTTGCTACAGTCACTCCGTTGACCTTTCCAACACTCTTTTCTACTCTCACTATCATGTTCTTTATTATGGTTAAGTTTAAAGAAAAAAAAAAACTGACAGCCACACAATCCAGAAAATTGGCATGCTCCCTGCACTTGGTACAGGCTTCAGTTTTATTATTCACCATACAGTGTTGTAAACAGTTATTTACATTTCTTACTCCTTCATTCAATATGAGCTTGATAAAGGACAGAATGATGCTGTTTTGAGTTATGGGGCTTAGCAGGGTACCCACCACATAGTGGGTCCTTATTTAATGTTTGGTAAGTGGGTGAGTCAATGAATGTATTGCCTTTCTTGGTTTGGGACACAGTAGTCTCCTTTTGAACATTTGGTTTAAAAGGGATTCTCTCCATTACATACAATGCTTAAATCTGTTTGCCTTCATTGAACAGCTTCCTGGGAAGATTCAGACAGTGCTGCGGGAAACTGTATATGTCATGGCCAGTGGTTTCTGAGTCTTTTCTTTATCCATGTACAGGTGGGGAAGTGGAAAGACAAGTCCCTGCAGATGAAATACTATGTATGGCCCCGAATGTGTCCCGAGACCGAAGAGCAAGAGGATGACCACCTAAGCATTGTGACGCTGGAGGAGGCTCCATTTGTCATTGTGGAAAGCGTGGACCCTCTAAGTGGAACCTGCATGAGGAACACAGTCCCCTGCCAAAAACGCATAATCTCTGAGTATGGCACCTTCCCCCCAGTGGCTGTGGGTAGCATGAGAGAGTCAAATTTTTTTGCAGTTCTTAGCACCTGGCAGGCCTGGGACCTGCAGCAAGGAATGAATTGGGCACCATGTCCAATTTTCAGCTGCTAATGAACTGTTGAATTGCTGGCAGCCCTGTGGTCTGATGTCTGGTTCTGTCCAAATCATAACCTGAGAGAATGACTGCTAGGCATGCTAAGGTTCTTTGGCCTTTCCTGACCTCAGTGCCTGGGATCTCAAGGTTATAAAGATTTAGGTTTATTCTTGGTATTGAACTATATTTTCTTGGGCCACCATATCCCCAAATTTTGATATTTAGAACCATTTCTGAAAATAGGTCAAACTAATCTATGTTGTTACGAGTCAGGATAATGGTTTTCTTTGGTGAGGGTAGGAAGTGCCTGGAAGGGAGAAAAAGAAGCCTTTTAGTGGTAACTTTTCTGTACCTGGATTCAGGAGCTGGCTGAAAGGGTGAATTTGGTGTATGAAAATTCACAGAACTGAGCCCTAAGGATATGTACTCTTTCCTGATGTGTATTGTACTTCAAAGGAACATTAAAATTTGTGAGAAAGCACGGCCCAATGTAATGAGATAATGAGAATATTGCAGTTCTGGGATCTGGTTTATTTCCTCACTCAGGTTTGATATAAATTGTGCTGTGAAGGGTGACCTGCTTTAGAATTGGAGTTTTAATGACAAAGAATAATACTGTGCTTCTTGTACAAAACCTTGCTTTTGTTTTTCGTTTCTTTAACTGGCTAGGAATAAAACAGATGAGGAGCCAGGATACATCAAAAAATGCTGCAAGGGGTTCTGTATCGACATCCTTAAGAAAATTTCTAAATCTGTGAAGTTCACCTATGACCTTTACCTGGTCACCAATGGCAAGCATGGGAAGAAAATCAACGGCACCTGGAATGGTATGATTGGAGAGGTGAGTGTCCGAAAGTAAGGGCCAATTCCATTTTTCATTAATTTTATTTCATGGAAACACTTTTTTTTAATCGATTTTATTTTTTAAATACACGACAATGGAATGCATTACAATTCTTATTACACATATAAGGGCTCATTTTATGAATTTTGTAAAATATGAAGTGGTAAAGAGAATGCACTGTTCCCACTGTAAGAAGAAATTCACTGATGGGCCGTGAGTATTTCCCTCAAGGTGGCCCTTGCCTTCCTGGGTATTCTAACCAGAACTTGGTGTCTTTCTCCTCAGGTGGTCATGAAGAGGGCCTACATGGCAGTGGGATCGCTCACCATCAATGAGGAGCGGTCAGAGGTGGTTGACTTCTCTGTACCCTTCATAGAGACTGGCATCAGTGTCATGGTGTCACGCAGCAATGGGACTGTCTCACCTTCTGCCTTCTTAGGTAAATGATGTGTTTGCTGGTGACAGGAATTGGAATAAGGAATAGTTGGAGGAGCACATGGCCAGGTTCTCTCAGTCGGGAGTTGGTTTCCTAATAGGAAACTCATCTGGGGACTTCATTTTGAGGACATCAAAATTGATGATTCTCAAACCTGAAAGCTGAAGACACCCAGAATAATAGAAAGGCATAACGCTGCTTCCTAAGGAAACACTCCTGCATTGGTCATCAGAGGCCTCCATAGGAGTCCTTTTCTTATCATGTAGTCACCATCTGACCTTGAGCAAATTTGCTCCCTCCTGGGACTCAGTTTCCTTAGCCATAGAAGGCACTTCAGCTAGCCTCTCTCTGAGGCTGCTTCCTGCTCTAAAAATTTCTAATTCTGGTTATCATTGAAATACCTATTTATTTTTAATTATCTTCAAGAATTGAGCTCAGTGCTACCAAAAAAAGGTTTTCTGTTGTCACATGAATTTTCTGAGGCTTTTTTCAGCCAGAACTGATCTGATGCTTCCTCCCACCCCAACCCAGCCTTCCCCTTATCATTCTCTACTTCCCCACCCTCCAGCAGCACTTAACTGTCAAAAGCCTTAGATGTGATATAAGACTAGGTGAGATAAGGCCAAGTTTTCAATTATATGAGGTCCTTGGTGAGCTCATATCCCATAATTTTTGCAGGGGCTGTGGAGCAAGGGGGTGGGAAGTTAAATGTCACCTTGAAACAGAACATTGGACTAGAAGACAGGAGCCTGGTTTGGTCCTAAACAAGTTGTAAGCCCTTGGTCAAGTCACAATCACTCCAAGAGATGTGAACATATTTAAAAGGAGGAGAATTGAATAGACAGTGACTGTCATTTCTTTAAGCTCTATCCAAAAAAGAATTAACTCAATTAATGTAACACTAAGTAGAATTATAGGTTCCATAGATTTTATATAAATCATTGAAGTTTCTTAGCTAATCTTCTTATTTGTAGTGGAGCAAATTCTGACTCTGCTGGTTATATGTGAAATGTTATTAGATAATACACAGCATATGCATTAATTCTCATGGCTTCTGGAGACAATTTATTTGCATTTTTCCAATTTGAGGAGATTGGAACATTAAAAGATAAAAACAAAGTACACTCTAATTCTAACCCCGCCAGTAGAGCACTAACCACCATTTCTGAACTGGAAGAGCCAAATAGCCCTGGAAAGACAAAAATGTTAGGCAAAGTGTGGTATTGTGTGTTTGGAGATGAGAAAGAGTTAGTTGCAGGGTAAGAGAAAACAAAATTTATTCAACACCTAATATGTGATGTGCCAGGTATTAATCATGCATGTTTGGTTATAATAACTCATTGGTACTATAATTATACCCATGTTATGGCTTAGGAAATGGAATCTGAGACAGGGTTAAGTAATTTTCCATAAGTTTCTCAGTCCAAAACTGACAGATCTAGGATTATGTCCAAGTATGTAGCCTTCAGAGCCTGTGTTCTAATCCACATTTGATCATCTCAGAATTCCACCCCTAACCCAGGAACCAGTGTGGCAGGCAGGTTAAGATGCAAAATCATACAGTAGAAATAACATAGACTTTCTGTCTTGAGAACCTCAGTTCATAACCTAACTGCCACTTTCTATGTAAGAACTTGGAAAGGACTTCTATCTCTCATTCTTGGTTTACTCTTCTGTAAAATGGATAAGGTAATCCCAAATGAAATGGTCACTAAAAGAATCATGCATGATAGTAAATGGTGAAAGTGCTTTGTAAATTATAAAGGTTAATATAGGTGTTTGTTGTATTTTTTGGATATAAATTTGCCCTGGGCTTAATGGTGGCAGGGCAGGGGCAGTGGGGAGATCGCAGAATCACAGAGGTGATTCTTTTACTCAGTTATTACCCAATCTTATAAATAGTGAAATCAAGGCAGGATTAGAGTCTATACACTATCATATAGAGGCTTTAAATTTTACCTTCTATGCGTAAGTCTGACTGCCAGAGAAAGGTTTTGTATTTCTCAGTGGGTATGTCAAGCTCTGGGGCTTTATCAAGGTTGTTTTTAAATTGATTAAGTGACCAAGCTTTTATAATTCTTTTGGAAGTACAATAGTAAATAGGTTTCAGAGGAAGAAAGGTACTTTCAAAATTTCAGCCATTTTTCCCCTTTCTCAACTTTATCTTTATTAATGATTTGGAAGATGAGGAAAACAGAATGTTAATTCACTTAGTTATGAGTTTACAATGTGATGTGACAGTTAAAAAGGCCAAAACTATTTTGAGACACATTTGAGAAAATATTGCATCATGGGAAAGAAAAGCAATTGTCCCTTTGTCTCGGTCTTCCAAGAGATGGCTTCTGCAACAGAGCATTTAGTGCCTGGACACCTCTAAGCCAGAGCCACTTAGCTCACCTAGAAGGGGTTCAACAAAAATGATTAAAGATAGTAAAGAAAACTGTGTACAACATTCTTACTATCTTTTCTGGTCTTGTCCCAACACTGTCACCTGATAATTGGAGATAGATTTTGATTGTGAACCACAACTTATTCAACAACATGTCAACTATTAAATTCCTTCTGTTGCAGATACTGATATTAATGTGGATAGAAGTCAATGTTAACAAATAAAATGTCAAATAAAATCTATCAGCTGGCCAATGTATCCCAAAGTTTTGATGACACATACCTATAATCCCCGTGACTTGGGAGGCTGAGGCAGGAGAATTGCAAGTTCAAAGCCAACCTTGGCAACTTAATGAGACCCTGTCTCAAAACAAAAAATGAAAAAGTGCTGGGGCAGTGGCCCAGTGATAGGGTGACCCTGGATTCAATATTCAGTAGCACAAATAAATAGAAAAAAAAAACACATCAAAATGGGTTGAAAAATTAAATCTAGATGGAAAATTTAAGAGGAGTGACACAATGGGGTAGAGAGGATGGTTATTATTGTACATAATTATTACTGAATTAATTCAACTCTGAAATAGTAGCTAAGTCTGTGGAGAATTAATTTGGCTGCAAGTCTCAGAAGCACTGGGGAAGGATTTGGCGGGCCTCCCCTTTGTGGTATGGACACATAGATGAAAACGTAAACCAAGCCAGTCCAATATGATTCACTTGTAGCATATAGCATATACCATACCTCTTCCAATTATACCTTTTACCGAAAGACACAGATATGGATCCAATAGTAGCAGAAACTATCTCTACAACCATTAGACGGTCCAAGAGCTTGAGGCTGTGTTCCTCCTGTGCTTGGAAGAAAGCAATCTTGACGTGCTGATCTGGGGGATAGATCTGTCCAGGCATGTTTGATTTCTCCCTAAACCAGTCCCTGGATCACGAAGGCATACAGCACACTTTGTTTCTTGTTCTCCCCAAATATTTGTTTGCATGACCAAGTGAAATAATTAGCCTCCATTTGTTCTGTTTTGACCTTGAGCACTGTTTTCTTTCCCTTCCCAGAGCCATTCAGTGCTGACGTATGGGTTATGATGTTTGTGATGCTGCTCATCGTCTCAGCCGTGGCCGTTTTTGTCTTTGAGTACTTCAGCCCTGTGGGTTATAACAGGTGCCTCGCTGATGGCAGAGGTAAGGCCAGCTGGAACCAGTATTTTTCTTTGTTCTTCTGGTTTGTAATTCCAATTCTCCTTACCCCTGATTCTTCCCTGATCCATATTCTTCCTAGTTTTTCCATTTCTGGGAAAAAAAAAAAAAAGTCCCTCAGTCTTCTAGATCACCAAGCTGGTGACACTTTAGAAATACGCCAGATAAGATGCTAGTTTGAATTTCTGTGTCCCCCTTATGGTTCACATCATTTCTAAGCCCAGTTCTACCCCTAGGTAAATGCAAGGGAAGAGTGATAGTAGAGGTGGGTACTCTGAAAGTGAAACGGGAAGCTTTCGATGACTTTAGGCTGCGGACAGTCTGTTGGAACAGATGTAACTAACAAGACAGATTGTACACACTTATTAAGGACAGGAAAAATAGGTTGCCCCAAGGTAAATGCAGGGGGTTGTGACTGGCAGAGTTCCTCAGAACCAAAGGATCACGACTGAGGTACAATATCTCTCAAGCATATGGTCCTAGATCAACATCCCTTGCCAGCGAGCATAGGAGTTGGATGTGTGGAATGAAATGGGCAGAGTAGACCAATTCTCACCCATAGCTACAGTGGACGGGGGCAGGGGGCAATTTCCTAGGTAGGTAGTTCCACAGATGAGAGAGCTACCCAGATGTTTGAAGCACATAAACTTTTTCAAAGTTTGCTAGATTTCCAAAGGAGGACACGGGATTCCTGTAAATAGCTCTTCTGAAGCTTCCTGAGAACCCCAGGATTAAGAAATAGTCTATCTTCTCTGAGTTTTATCCTTCTAGAATGTGTCTGCTAACCTGGAATTTTATACTCGAAGAGGAAAGTTTCTTAAGAAGGATTCCCTATGGGGCACTTAAAAGACAAAGATGTTTGGACCTCACTTTCTGATTCACTCAGTCTAGGATGGAGCTTCAACCCTTCTGTTTCAAAATAGTGGATCTCTGCTTTGGACTCTGAACCATGTTCGGCCAGAGGAAGGAGAAGTTGTGCTCCCTTTGTGTACAATGTGCCAAAATGCATTCTACTGTTATGTATAACTAACTAGAACAAATTAAAAAAATAAATTAAATTTTAAAAAATATAATACCCAACCTATACCAATTTAATAAGAATCACTGGAGGTGGATTTAAGGCAACCAAATTTTATAAAAGTTTCCATTATGCTTCTGTTGAATTCACAGTCCAGGATGTGAATCAGCACCTCACTGACATATTTCAAGTGTAAACCTACCTTTTGAGTTGGTTTATGTATTCTGGGGTGGAAATCTCCATGTCTTCACACAGTGGTACAATCAGTGGTGACAATCACTTGTGCTAAAGGGCCATTCAGAAGCCATGATCTGCCCAGCCTGGTAAAGAAAACGTCTGAGAATCACATGAGTATGTAGTTAGGTTGACAATGTCAATAACTAAAGTTCATGTGCCCTCTCATTCTTAGGTGGGGAGAAAACAGAAGGTAAAAATCCAGATTTACTATACTCAGAGCAAGAACTTACAATGACTCACTTTATAATAAGCTGTTTGTCTTCACAAAGGAATTCAGTACAGTGCCACTTTAAATATCAAGAGCATTTTACAATTTAAAAACTTTGGTTATAAATGACTTTCCAGTTACATATCTGTTTCAATAAATAGGGTCCACATGCACAGATGTGCATGCACTGTTAGATATCAGATTTAACATGTGTAGTCCCTGATGATGTAGTTGGCTGAGCAGATGCCATCAGGAACACAGAAAACATCATAAGACCTGTGTTAATATGTCATAAAATTGTGCAGGCAGATGTTGGTTTCTACAGTGGAAAGAGCCACGTTGTCTGCATGGAGATCCAGATAACAGGCAAGATTTTACCCTCATTAAGCAGAGCTAGCATAGAAGCCACCATACATTCATGGACAGATACCCTGGTACTATCTGTGAAAAGAGCAGGTGGAGGGAAGTCAAAGACAGCTATCTGCCTTCAGATGCAGGTGGCCAGGCGGAAGTTGATGACTTCCTTCCTAATGTTCTTGTGCACAGAAGCTACTACTATAGGAAATTGGCTGGGAAGTGTTGACATTGGAGTAGGGTCAAGTCTGTCTTTGAAATATTGAATGCTAACTGCTAGAGGTTGAAGGATAATCAGCAAAAAGTCCATTCAAAAATCATCCAATATGAATGTGCATAGACTCAGAGGAGGCTTATGACAATGGTTAGAAAAAAGACCTCATATAATTATTGCTAATGTTTGGGAAGTTAAAATGTTTCCTTGGTAGATACAAATAAACAAGTTAGGAAAAAATGATCACAATGACCCAAATGTGACCATAGTGGCACAGTTAGCCTTTGTTACTCAGTTTCCACATAATTCTGATGGTCTTGGGTATGAAGGCAGGAACACAGTTGGAGAAAGATCCACCACACACCCTAGAGCCCTTGTTTTTCTCTTAAGGACCCTCTTCTGCCCTCCTGGGGCTCCCCAAAAAAGAGAGAAACAGACTCTCAAATTATAAAGGTTCAGTCTTAAGGGAGGGGCTACCCTGCTCTTAGCAGAGACTTTCCAGCTCTGTGTACTTGTAGGTTGAAATACAACTAGTGATTCTGGCTTAACTTTGTGTCTGCATTGTTTTGTTCTGCCAGAGCCAGGCGGCCCATCTTTCACCATCGGCAAAGCTATTTGGTTACTCTGGGGTCTAGTGTTCAACAACTCTGTACCTGTGCAAAACCCGAAGGGGACCACCTCCAAGATCATGGTGTCAGTGTGGGCCTTCTTTGCTGTCATTTTCCTGGCCAGCTACACTGCCAACTTAGCTGCCTTCATGATCCAAGAGGAATATGTGGACCAGGTTTCTGGCCTGAGTGACAAAAAGGTAAGAGGCCCATTTGAAACCTTCCATCTTTCCTTCGATCCTGTTCTCATGTACCTGTTAATTTTCTAAACCTTTAGAATCGATAGTTCTTTCTTTTGTTTTCTTAAATTGTGACACAGGAGCAGAAATCAGTTTCCCTACTGAAATAATATTACTCTGTGTGTACCTCCTGATTTGTAAAAGGTTGTCACAAGTACACCCTGGGCTGCAAATAAGGGGCTTGGTATGTTAGTGGTTTTTTGAATACATGGTACCTCTTTCGGATGCAGTTGGGTGGCCCACCAGCTCAGGGCTGCCTATTTGATGTGTTATTAGAGGGCCGCCCCTGTGTACCCACACTGAGGGGACTAGAGCATTATGGCCTCATTTTCTTCCCAGTGGTATTTGGCTGTGGGCTCTCCCTTTGTTCTTCCACACACTTGTGTGTTCCTAGGGCTGAGCTGGAGGGTTGTTCACATTGTGTCTTGCAGGGAAATAACTGCTATTTAACTTGATGATTGCCCCTGTGTGATGTCGATGAATGGGTTGCCCCATACCAATTGTAGGCCTCCCTGCAGGCCCGTACAGTTGAGAAAAGAAGGGATCTATCTGCTGGTCTCCATCTTTTCTGTATGATGATGTACAACATGTTCTAAATGCATCTGACCCTCCAGATCTGCCTGAAGCATCTCAGTTTCCATGGAAGGAAGATCTGTTCCCAGAAACCATGATAATTAGGATGGTCTAAGACTAGCCATCAGAGATGCCTTTATGGAGTGTATGGAAAAGTTCATGGCCAAAACAATTTTGGAGACTATCACAACAAATTTCCTACTCTTAGTTTCCTTGAGATTTAGAAAATGACTTCTCACTCTCATTGGCAAAATGAAGTTATAGATAGATGTGCTTTAGACCAATAGGTAATGTTTTATTTCATGCATTGGGTTTCCCCAGATAAAACCCTAAACACTTCAGCAAATCACTGCAGAAAGGATACTTTGGGGCCCAAAGTATCTATTCAAAGCTCTATTCATCAAGAATACTCAAAAGCATATAGGGAAGACAAATGGCTTCTTGAGTGAATATATATATATATATATATATGTATGCATAGAGATAGATATACATATATGTATGTATGCGTATTCATATACACATGTGTGTATGTATAGATCTGTCATTCATTATGTTTACCATTTCATGCTATCTCTTTATCTGATTTGTCTTCCTTTTTAGTTTCCTTTCTTATTTTAACAATACTCTCCTGTATTTCCTTCTCCCTGTTTTTAGGGTTTCATATATTTCCCTTATCCAAGCCACTATTTTTTATACATTAATTCTTTTTCTTCTTCTTCTTCTTCTTCTTCTTATTATTATTATTATTATTTTATTGATTCTGTTATTATTTCCCATTTTTAAACTTTTCTCTCTTATTATTCCATCATCAACATCCTTTGCCATTATGATCCTAAGTAAAATTCGAGTTAGACACCTTCTCCCCTTGTTACAGCCACCTTTTTGACAATTTCTATAACCCAGGCACTAGCGGAGCTAAGAATACCTACTTCCTCAGAGCTCAGTACTTGGTGTGGTTCAGAAAGGTGGACCACGTCTACCCTAAAACACAGTTGTGGCAGAGGTTTGCAGAAGCCCAGCCCCATTTGTAGATTTTTCAGGGATATACAGAATGTTCACATTGTGACATGGCTGAAGGGTAGTGGAATAGGTACCCACACCTTAATGTGGCAATGTTTGGCAAGACCGTGTCACTGTGTGTCAACATGGCAGAGGTGTGGTAGACCTCAGCCTTCCTTGGGGCTCTGTATTATTAAATGGGAACATTTGTCACAATGTTGTGATTTTTTATCCCAACGATTTCTTCAAATATCTTGAAACATTGGGCAGAACACTGTATTTGTGTTTTTCATACCCTCATGGGCCACCCAGCAACAAGGGAATCCATTTCTATGTGAACTAAGTGTAACTGGGATAGAAGGAGATTGTTTTCCTTTCTATGGATTGGAAGGAATTTATCTTCCAAGGCTGCTCACAGCTGAGAGGATGGCATTTGTTTGTTGTCCACATCATGTCATTATGTTCTGAAAAATTGGATCCTGCCAGTTCTTTTATAGTAAAGATAGCTGTGTTTGCTGACTTTTCTGCCCTGGAATGACTTTCAGGGCCTTTAGAAGTGTACCCCAGTTCTCTAGTGTCCTTGGCTAATGCAAAGGTTCCTGCATCCTGCATCCAAGGCATCCTCAGCTCCTCCTTTTTCCTGACCATGCCTCTATCTGTGCATCTGGACAGGAGGGTTTTCTCCCCTGTTCTTGCTCGCCAAACTCCTGCTGAAACTTCAAGACTCAAACTAAAGATCGCTTCCTTTGTGGAGCTTTCCTTGGCCCATCTGAATGGCTAGTCACTTTCTCCTCTGCCATGCAAATATTCATACTTTATTATTACACTTGTTTCCATATTCTTTTGTTATAATCCATGGACCTGTACTTGATGGAATTTCCCTCTCTCTAACTGTGAGTTCCAGAAAGTCAATGACCATAACATGGTCATCATTAAAATTATAAAGCAAAATTCTATAGGGAGAGAAGCAGAGAAGGGATATGCGCACAGACGTCTCCTGTGTCAACTGCGGGCTCGGCATTATAGGCAGAGAAAGCAAGGAGACAGCAAGAACCCTTTCACAGCTGTTTAATTTGAAAATGATTGAAAATGGTTATCCGATATACTTCAGAACTTTGCAAATGACAAAATAGTAAAATGTAAGCATCCTACCAGAAAGTATCAACATAATTTACATAATTATAGAAAACACTTAAGTAACTAATGACATATAACTGCATATTAGTGTCAGGAACAGTTATATAAATCAGAAGGAGAGTATTTTGAAAGTCTACTTATAATGTCAAAATTTGTATTAGTTTTATTTCAAAACACCTAAGGAAAATGAAATCTTAGGACTGGCATGGTATGCATGAGAAGAAGTATATTCTATGAATTTAGAAAAAGAAAGATAATACAGACACTGAAACAATAGTGTTGAGAATAGAAATGAGATGATTTTGAAGACTGTCTTCAATGTAATTACGTTTTCATCAAGCAAAGTAACATTTACAATGAAGAAATGTTCTAATATTTGGTATGACTATCAAAGATGACTTATCTTCTATATAATTTATATCAGATGACAAATATCTTGAGAGATGATGAAAAGATATTTGTAGCCATTCGATTTATATAGCTTTAAAAAAAACTGTCTTCAATTTTTTTTTTTGGACAAAAAAATGTATTGAGATTTTATTTATGTTAAGGTAAAAGCCAGAATGTCCAGAGTTAAATTTCCATGAAAGCTTGATTCTGTGCTCCTTGTTTTCTGGATGGCTTCCATTTAAAATTATTACATTACATGCCATATCTAAGGGGTGCAAGTCCTAATATTTAGCAGCCCTACTGTACATTTGTTCGATGAGCTGCTCCAGTGGCAGGAGGGTATAAGGAAGGTGGTGACCTCTTTCTTCTCTGCATAAAGAGTCCACAATGCTGATCCTCATGTTTCTCACCTATCCAGATGGACTTCTCATTTTGCAGTCTGCCAACCACAGTATGAAGGGGAAAGACCTTGGCCAGGTGATGGAGGGGAATGTGTTTACTGGGCACCGGATACATAAACTATGTCACTTGTGTGTTATTTGTATAATCTTCATAAAGATGTAATTATTCCCATTTTTACAAATAAGGGCACTAAGTCTCTGAAAAACTTAGTAATTTCCCTAAAGTCACATATTATCAAGTGACAGAGCCAAGGTATCTTTGGCTCTAAAATCATTCTGCCAGAATGTTTCTCTTTGAGCTAATTCCAGATAGAGTTATGACATAGCTAAAGATTGGGATCAACACTCTTGCCCCTGCTTTCTTACTCAATTCTCTACCCTCTCATTTAATTGCATTTTGGCTCCACTTAACCTAACCCTATTACTCCTAATCATTATTATTTTTTTAATGTAACTTCAACAATAATATCTTAGCTAATATTTTTCAGCTCTTATAGACAAGGCATAATGCCAAATGAATTATTGCATAGATTATCTTATATAATGATGCTATTATTATCTTTATTTGAAATGAGGCCACTGAAGCATAGAGAAATTAAGTATTTTGCCCTTATGATGTTCCTGGCTGCTGCTACCCCTAAACAATGTGCTACTCTATTTGGATTCCAGTGCTTTCCCCAGTTAAATTGCCTTTCTTTACCCTCCTCTATACCTCGTAGGAGCTTAACTAGTTAAATGCTTTTTCTGTGTTAAATAGTTAGCTCTCTAATTAATTGAGTTATAATAGATAATATTCTAACAGTCTTTTAGGGGAATTACTTTAAATAGGCAATAATTGTGATTTCCACCACTTGGATAGGTTAATGACTTTCAAATTGATTTTAGTCTGGGCACAGAGTAACCCTGTCCTTAAGCTTCCATTGGGTGATGGGACATGGCATTGCCAGAAGAGAGAGGGTGAGTTGTAGGGTCATTTGTAGAGTCAGTGGGGCCAGAGAATGAAGGAGCCCTGCAGGGAGGCAGGGGCAGCTATAGCCACAGAAGGTTTGCTGTCCCACAACCAGGCTCTCACGGGTATCTGCTGACATCCTACATCATACATTTGGACCACCATTGTGACAACCAAACTGTATTTGCAGTTCTTTCCCTCAAAGAACTAGAGGAAACTTTTCAATATCAACAAACTCTCATGAGTTCAAAGAGGGCAGCCATCATCTAAAGTCAGGATAACCATGGAACATCTAAAGGAGGACCCCATGGCTTTTCTAAATAACAATTATTCTTGGTTTCTGAGAAGTCCCAGAAGGTCTGAAAGTCACTTTTGATCCTTTGGGGATACAGGTATGTGTTGTAGTTTAAGTGGCCCATCCAAAGCTCATGTTGAATTGCCCGTGTCAAGATAGGGGACCTTTGAGAGGTGATTAGGTTATGAGGGTAGAGCCCTCATGAATGGGTTAG